CTTGGCACATTAAGGCTTAGTAAAGTTTTTTTTCAATCTGAAATAATTTCCTTTGCATAGGTTTATCTAAAAGGGACAGATGTCCTTGTCTCATTTTTAATAAACAGTTATAAATGTGAACTAAAAATCTGAGTAAGATGGTACTCCACCTTGTTTTAAAGATGTACTTCCATCTCTTCATGTCACTTTTGGCACTTACATATCCTTAAATTTTTGCCAAGGCAAAAGGAAAAACATGCCTATGGGACCTCGGTTCTTTAAATCTTAGATCATTTGTGACTAGGGTAATTTATTTAACCTAAGCTATTTTTTTAAAATACAGCCTACGCTTGATAAGAAATTTGTGTAATTGATTACTAAATGATAACATTATTACCACATAGCTCATAAAGCAGGATTTGTGTTTATTGGGAGAGAATAGGTACCATCATAATGAAAATCTAAGTTTAAAAGGTTTAATTTACAGTATTGGATTTTGTATATGTGGTGCTAACATCACTATAAACCTTATCTGTATAGTATACATCAGATTTGCTTTTTAACCAGGTTATTTTGTATCTTGTAAATATGGCCAATCATAGGAATGCCTGTAATGCACCCTAAAAGATTCCATCTGTCTGATAAGAATTGAAAGAATTAGTCTTGATGAAACTACTAGGTAGTATTCTAAAATTTGGCTGTGAGTGGGACAATGTAAATAGTAATTGCCTAGGCTTGTCTATAGAAACTAATGTCGCTGATAGAAGTAATAGGTTTACTGAATCATAACAAGAAAATTACATCTGCATTTAGTGGAAAGAGAACCCTAGAAATGCCATTGGTCGTTTTGTAGTGCACTGCAACTTTCATTTGTTGCTGTCCTAGTCTTGGACCCTAAGCCACTCTATACCTGGAGGCAGCCCCCAGGGCATATGACTCCATCTGGTCTCCTCCCCCTGAAGAATGATGCTGTGGTTTTCCCACGTGCTTCAGTCTCCATCTCTCAGAGTCTGTTATGTGTAGCTGTATTTACCTGACAAATAGCTACTGTTTTCCAGGCATTTAAGACCTTTGCAGAGAACATAAACGATGGGGTTCCCAGTAAGAACCCCACCTCTTGCCAGAATTAACAGTGTTTCAATTGAAATTTTAGAGCATGTAATTTGATGAAAATACTTAAAATAGAAATAAAAGCAACAGTGTTTCTTATACATGTAAATTGAAATTCTTTTAAGTTTTTAAATTCATTAAGTGTAGTGTGTGCCATGTTTATACTCCACATTCTTGATTTCTTGAATAATGTTTGTGTGTAGCTGTGCCTCCATACACCTGATTTGAAAATTAAAAACTGGCTTAAAAGTATCTGACACTTAATTTTTCTGCATTACATTTCAGGTAACAAGCAGAAGCTTGGAACAAAAGTAAAACAAAATTGTATTTACTTTTAACAACTTAAACTGGTTATGTTGAGAGGAACAGAAGAATGGAGAGAAATTCTATGGTCTGATATAGTGCCATACTGACCAATTAATGTATATAGCTGTCATAATAGCACCATTAAAAATCTTGTTGGGCAGGGGATGCAGCTCAGTGTGGCACCACGCCTGCCTCTCATGTACAAGGTCATGAATTAGATACCCAGTACAAAAAAAAATCTTAGTGTCAAGTAATTTTCATAATATTTCCTTCCAGTAATATTGTCTCAGTTTTATATATGCAAGGTTTGAGCTTCGAATTAGGAGCCCAACTAATAGATTATGGAACTGAAGGATTCAAATCTGCATTTAAACCTGTCTACTAACCCACATTTAATATAAATGTATGTGGTTATTTTTATGTCACCAATTAAAACTTGAGTTCCTGAAACACTTTCCTGTTGAAATCATTTTCATTAAAGACAGTGTTCTTCCAACAGACTTGTATAAAATCTTGAAGTTTTTTTCACTTTGTCTTCTATTTTTGCAGAAAAACCCTTTCTTTGTTAGAATACTGTTACACTGCAGTAACAACTACAATCTCAACTGTTTGAAGATCAAGACCTCTGACTTAAGATGTCCATTACAGGGCACCAAGTCCGTGGAACAGCTGCACTGAAACAGTTACATCAGAAGGCACTGTCTCACGGTGACTAAAAGACTAAAAACATGTCACTTGAACTCAATGGACTGAGCTGGTCATGAAGCCACCCAGCAAAGGAAAGTGACTGTCATGAGCTGGAGAGGGAGAAATACATAGCATTAATCACTACCACACTGAGGTTTACTTAGGAGTTCATTCACAGCAATACTCCACATAACCGAAACAACCAGCAAAGGGATAAAGTTCCCAAGCAGCGAAAATAAGTGTGAGATTCAAGTACTCAAAGTTGTGCTTGTTAGAGAATCATAAGTAACCCTGTTTAGGTAATTGGGTTCCTGCCAGGTTAGAAGTGGTAAAAGGTGCAGAGCATGAGAGAAGCACATGGGTAGCACTGAGATGCGCTTGTCAGTCTTTTCAGCTGAGAGAAATTACAGCAACAGAATTCAGGGAGCACAGCCGTTTCCAACAAGTCGGGCTTACATCTCAGACCTGAGGATGTTAGGGTTAATGCAAAACAGTTACGATGGCCCATAGCCATCAACAATATAAACCAAGTTTAGTTTTACATTTTGTTAAGGCAAATTTTTACAGTTATTGTCAAGGGATGTTTGTAGATGTTAGAAAAATGATGCCATGATTCACTCTGGCAAAGTGGGTTAAACTTACTTGGGCTATTATTTACATAATTTATTTTATAGCAATGCGAGCAAGTAACATGTTGATTTTGAATCTTTGTATGGGAGAATACAGTATTTAACCATTGTGTGAGTCAGCATCTCAAAGAAACACAGCACATTCACAGTGGGCCACTAATGAAAGCAGCGAGTTTTTACGGTACAGGTATCAACTCCCAAACTAAAAGAGCAAAGGAGGCAGTGTCATTACCAGAACTGCATAGAAGGGCTAACTGGAGGGCACTGCTGGGTGAAGCTGCAGCTGAGTTGGAAGACAATCGACTAGTGGCAATCTGGGAAGAAGCCAGAGACCAAGAAATACATACCTTCATTTCCTCCTTTCTTTCATCTCTCCTGCCATCCTCCCCTCCCTTTTACCCAGTAGGAAGTCACTGGGCAAATGAACCTGTAGCATATACAGATCAGCTATTGGAGAGCAAAGCAGAGCACAGAATAGTAGAATGGGAATTAGTTTTGTACCCCTGTATTCTCCCTTTTTATTCACAGATGTCTGGGACTAGTACTCTGCAGAATAGACTCAGAAAAGTTGAATCATTCATTAAGAGATCCAAACTGGCACATATGCCCTCGTATTCTGAAAATAACAATATAACAGAAGCTTCTATAGTGAATGAAAGAGCTCACTCATTTAATTTTAGTTTAATGAACAAAGTGATGGGCAGGAGGGGCAAGCAGAGTGGAGCTTCCAAACAAATTGTCAGACAAAGCAACGCTATTTCCATTTCACTTTTGACCTGTGCCCTGTGATCAGAGTTGATCATGTTCGCAGAACTATTCCAGGACTTTAATTTTTTCCAAAAGCCTTTAAAAACTATTATTCAGATAATTTCCTTCCTGAGGCATCATGTTGACCATGTGACATCCATATACGTAATTTTTCAACTTTTGACTAACTGCCAGATCCTCATCTGACAATAATGTGATTTGAGCAATTCTCAAAAATTGCTTTCATTGGCTTCATAAAAGCCTGCAATTTAAATTCATCCCCACGTGTTTACAGTATATTATTGGCTGAGTTGACTGGCAAGAAAACAACAACGAGGCTTGGATGGAATTGACCTTACTAATGTTAATTGGGGAGAAATATTTACATAAAGACTAGTTTCATGAGTGGATCTTTACTAGTTAAAATACTCTTGCTTCCTACTAACACAGGTGGGTCAGATGGGATTTGGAGCCAGGTATGGCGGCCCCTATGTCCCAATCCTAGTGGAAGGCAGAGCAGGAGGATCGCCTAGAGTCTGAGCCCAGCTGGGGTACACAGTGAGTTCAAGACTGGTCTGAACTACATGTCAGACTTTTGTCTCAAAAAACCAAAACCCAAACAAGTAAACAAAAAATTGGGATTAGGGACTATGGCTTTTAACTCTATTCAGCTGCCTGTGCTCTTTACAGACCTGATCACACTAGAAGCCCACCAATAATGGTGATAAGATGATCCTACAGCATTTAATCAGTAACTCCCACCTCTCATCAAGGAAGAATCCAGCCCAAAGGAAATGACTCATCATTTGGATTCTAATTCTCATTATGATGCAAAATTTGTAACATGAAAATACTTGCACCTAGGCTTGCCCCTAGTTTCAACATATTTAAATAGTTACTTCCTTAACAGAAAGATCTGTCTTAGGACAATCTCTGTGGAGTATTTCCCTAATTTAAATGTCATCATAAGGAAATCAGTATGCTAAGAAAACATCCCTGTAAAATTCTTTTTATGTTTACTAGCCACTATTTTGTATACATAACAATTTATATCATGCATGCTAGGATTTATTCAAATATTAAGTGACAAATTTGATTATTAAATCTTTTTTTTCCTAAGTCAATACATATGTACTGGAGAAAAAAACTTTTTAGAAAGCAGTAGGGAAGCTGTATGGTTTGTTGGCAGGGGTAGGGGCAAGAAGAAAGGCAAAGATCCAGGCTTATGAGAGCTGTCCGGTGTTTTAATGGATTAGCATCAGGGAATCATAAATTAGTTGAGTAGATGCATGTACTTAACATCGCGTGTGCTGGGCACAGAAGACACAGTAGTGTGAGGATACACTTGGTCCTTGCCATTGTGAGACAAAGATGAGAAGGTCAGAATTTACAGTCAAATTGCTAAGAACAGAATAATACTAAAATCCATCTAAACCAAACCATCTCCTGAAACATTCTGGGTTGCATCTTTGATATAACTTCTCAATACTTTCCACTTTGGAAAAGAGGAAAGTAACTTGCTTAGCTTCTACTTGGTAGTTAACTTTTAAAAAGGATTCATGTCTTACATGACACAGAGCACAAAAGAATAGAGAGCAGAGCCTGGTGGTGCACGCCTATAAACCCAAAGAATAGTCAGTAGAAACCTAGCAGTGGTACCATGTTGTTTTGAAATCAGGCTTCGCAGTTGACTTTTTTTTTTTTTTTTGAGTTGGTGACTCTTCCTTTAAACCTTCCCAAGAGTCTGTTCAGCAGGTTGACTCCACAAGGAAGAAAGCAAAATACCAAGACCATCTGAACTAACCCTGAAGGCAGAGACCTAAAACATACCACTTTGGTCCACCAGAGTTTGGGCTTGGGTTTTATTATCTATATGTGTCCAAGAAAAGCAGAATAAATGTATTACACATACGTTATTAAATTTTAAAATAATAAGTTGTTTTCATTCTATGCTGTGAAAGTAACCAATAAGGTCTCTTTTTTTTTTTAAGGTCCCTTTTTAAAGCATCATTATGATAAGACATGGTTTTTTGAGCTTTGCTGATTTGCAGCTGAGCCTGATTTTTTTTTTTTTTTTGTACCAGGGATCAAACTCAGGACCTTGTGCTTGCGAAGCAGGTGGTGGAACCACTGAGCTAAATTCCCAGTTTAAGCATCATTTTGAATTTAAATATATTTCTTGCATTTTAATCCATTGCAATGGATTAATTCATTTTTGTTGATGCTCAAATTGGTCTGTCTTTGAATAGTGTTAGCTTCTTGAACTTGCCGCCAGAGTTTTTTGCATGACCCCAGTACAACTGGTCATTTCTTTGCTTTCTGTTATGAGAAGAAATTTCAGCCTTAAAAAAAAAAGAAAAGAAAGAAAAAGAAATTTCAGCCTCATTCCACACATTTTCTGGCCCTACCTGGAATCTGCCTTTCCCCCAAGAAGTACCAATTCCTCTTATTTGAGATGGTGTTTAAAGACTATAATCTGCATGCTCAAGATCACTCGTTACAGGGCCAGTCATTATTTTTAGGTTTTTTCAGTGGACAAATTAAAAATACTTTTTATTTTAATTTATATTGTTTTTAATTTTTTAACTTTTAATATTTTAACTTTATTTGTTTATTTTGTGGTGCTGGGGATTGAACCTAGGGCCTTGCACATACTAGGCAAGTGATCTACCCCTAAGCTACATCTCCAGCCCTTTTTTTCACTTTATAACGAAAAAGTTCACTGAGCTTATAGACAGTCCAAACAGTGGGTACAGGCTCTGGCAGGAACCCCCTCGGCAAATGTGTGTGAGTATGTCTGAAAATGCTTTTTGCAAAAGAAATTTTTAAAAAGGGTAATACTTTACTAATATTTCTTTTTTTTTTTTTTTGCTCTTTGCTTTTCTTTTTCTCTTAAAACAGGATCTCACTATGTAGCCCAGGCTGGCCTTGAACTCACTATGTAACCCAAACTGGCCTTGAACTCATGTCAATCCTCCTGTCTCAGCCTCTCAAATGCTGGGATTACAGGGGTGTGCCACCACACCGGGCCATACTAATATATCTGATTCAAATTCAGAGCTACAGAGATTTTTTTAATTCTAAACTTTTTTTTTTTTTGGTACCAGGGAACAAACTCGGGTCTTTGTGCTTACGTAGCAGGCAGCGAAACCACTGAGCTAAATCCCCGGCCCTTAAATTCTAAACTTTTAATTGACAAATAATTACATGTTTATGGGGCACACTGTAATACTTTGATTTATCTATATATCACAGAATAATTAGATCAAGCACATTACACGACCATCACTTCATATACTTTTCCCTTTTCTTGTGGTGCAAACATTTAAAATTTGCTCTTAGGAATTTTGAAATACACATTATCATTAACTATAGCCACCATGCTGT